AACTAAATCCTGTTCTCTGGATCAACTCCCGGTGGTCATGCTAAATCACTGTTTTAAAGACATCTTACCCGTTGTAGTTAGAATAATCAACCTCTCCTTGGAAAGTGGTACAATGCCTGACTCTTTGAAGATTGCTGTTGTTCAACCGCTATTAAAAAAGTACAATCTTTCCTATAAAGAATTCTGCAGTTTTCGTCCAATATCAAATCTGAAATTTGTCTCGAAATCTATTGAGAAAGCAGTTGCTGTACAATTAACTGATTATCTTACTGAAAATCATCTACATGAGAAATTCCAGTCTGCTTATAAACCTTGTCATAGTACTGAAACAGCGCTATTGAGGGTTCAAAATGATATCCTTCAAGCTCTAGATAACAGTGATTCTGTTATTCTTGTCCTACTGGATCTGTCGGCGGCTTTTGACACCGTGGATCATTTAATGTTATTAACAAGACTATCGAAACGCTTTGGCATAAGGGGTCGTGTGTTGGATTGGCTTACCTCATACCTTACATCCAGGAAACTGTTTATGCGTGTTGAGGGAACTGATTCGTTATTGAGTGATCTTGATTGTGGTGTACCTCAGGGATCTGTGTTGGGTCCTCTGTTGTATTCACTCTATACTGCCCCTCTCGCGGATGTGGCTAGGCGCCACAATCTGCGCTTTCACTTTTTTTCGGATGATGGGCAACTTTACATTGCATTCAAAACGAATGATCATGATGATTTAATATCATCTAAGATCCGTATGGAGAAATGTATACTTGAATTGGGAAACTGGTTGATGTTGAATAAATTGAAACTAAATAGTGGCAAAACGGAGCTTATATTAGTCCATTCACGCTATCATCTGATGCCTCCCTTAAATTATATCATGGTGGGAAAGGAAAAAATTGTGCCAACTGTTTCAGCAAGAAATCTGGGGGTGATTTTTGATGAGGGGATCAGATTGGGCGAACATATTAATGGTATCTGCAAGTCAGCTTACTACCATATTAGGAATATTTCAAGAATTAAGAAGTATCTACCTCGAAATTGCTTAGAAATAATTATTCATGCATTTATAACTTCAAGACTGGATTATTGTAACTCCCGGTTGTATGGTGTACCCAAATATTTGCTTCAGAAGCTTCAGAGAGTCCAAAATACTGCAGCTCGTTTACTAACTGATACTAAGAAATCGGCGCATATCACCCCAGTTCTTATCGAATTGCATTGGTTACCTGTCCAATACCGTATTCAATTCAAGATTATACTTCTTGTCTACAAACTGTTAATGATCTTGCTCCATCGTATCTGAAGGAACTTATGCTGTGTCGTACTTCGCAGCGTACTCTTCGATCAAATGGAAATAAATTGCTCCAGATTCCTTATTCTAGACTAAAGACATACGGAGACAGATCGTTCTGTGTTGCTGGACCAAGATTGTGGAATGATTTACCTGTTCATCTTCGGATGTGTGAATCATTAACCATTTTTAAGAAGGTTCTTAAAACATATCTTTTTAACTTGTTTTTAAATAGTGTATGATGTATTCTATAGTTTTAACATTCTTAACACTAGTTTTAAGATTGGATTTTGTATTACTGTAAAGCGCCTAGAACAGTCTTGGTTTGTGCGCTATATAAATGTTTATTATTATTATTATTATTATTATTATGGATTTGTAAGAAGAATGCTCAGTGGGGCAACAAGAATGCGATGAAAAGCAACGTTTTCGGGGATTCAATACAGACAATGTTTTGTTAACACATTCGAACAAGATCATCCACCATGGGTTGTGATGTAACATTTCAAATCCGACTATGAGGACTGGACTAGATTTCAAGTCCGCGTAATTTGAACACGCCCGAGGAGAAGTCGAGGACTGGATCAAAATGCGAGGACTTGAAATCTGGTCCAGTCCTCATAGTCGGATTTGAAATATTACATCTCAAACTCATTAATAATTCATGAGTAAATTAGTCAACCATGTTGCTTTATTTTGCTTACATGATAATACTGGATACCAGCAGGCATGATACCGTGATAGTGTGATACCTGATGAAGTATATTGATCCAGGATATTGGATCAAAATTAATTCAGCCCTTGGACTGGATCAAAATTAATTAAGTAGTGATTTATTCATATGAGATCTGTCAAGAAACTCCCTTATTAGCAAGGTCATAAGGAGCTGAATGACAATGTAATTTTATACCCATGTTCTTATATTTTGGAACATTCTACAGAAGAGCTTCGGCTGCAAGGACAGTCAAGTCTGACAATTGCAGGAACAGGAGGAACAGAGATTCAGAAACGTTCCAGGCGTGTGGGACTTTCCGTTACGAGCCTCACTGTGACATTCTCACTGACCCTTATACTGTAACATCGCCAGCAACACATGACAGAATGTGTATTACAGGGTATATAAACAGAGTCGCGAATTTAAATCGTTTGTGGCTAATTCAGCACACGACGAGTCCAGATCAGGCACATATACGCGAGACGAAGAATCCAGTAGACTTATACCAACCAGAAGTTTATCTGCGGCAAGACTCGTGCGAAGTCAGGACGAAATCATGAAATAACACAATCTTCTGCTGAGATCCTGGATGCTGAACTGAACCTTTTGGATCAGACCTAAGCAGAAACCTTTCCTGAAGGCATAGATAGAAAGTCCCTAGTTCAATCAAACCCAGGAAAAGACGTTGAAAATGGCCTGCTTCGTATTAATGGAGGCTTACGCCTCGTAATAACGGTCAAAATAATGCTAAATGGTCGAAAGAATGCTAGATCTTTGATTTCTCCTCGGTATTTTGAAAAACTTTCTCCAAATTTTATTTAACTCACAAAAAACCTTTAATAAACAGGAGCTGTCTTCCCCAAAAATAACCCTTTTCGGTACAGTACGCCCTTAATTGACCATTTCTTTATGTTCTTGCAACCACTCCACAAATACAATAACCACAACAACACTGACAACAGTAACAACAGCAGTTCCTCCAGCATCACAGAGAGGAAATAAGGTGACACTGACCCTCCTCCTATTTTCCAGGGTGACTTTTCCAATTTATTTAATTCCGAGTAGAAATGTCTGGAAAAATTCATGTCTTCGATGTACTTTATAATCTTCGGAATTCTGCTAGATTTCACCCCCAAAATGCATGAAATCGCAATTCAGGGACCCCAGATTTCAAAATTTTCCGGACCCTCCTAGACAGTCTCTCTCACGCCTTCGGCGTTCTGCCTTTTTTCCTGTTTTGCCCCCCCCCCAGTGAAAATTCCTTAAAAAAGGCACTGGAAGTTTGTAGCTTATACGATGCTGATGCTGCGAAACTAAATTTATTTATACTATACTCTATAGATAGATTTATTTGTTGTAGATTGCATGTTCTCATGGCAGAGCTTGAGGCCTAGTGGTCCATTGTAACTAAACTAGACTCAATTTATTTATATCACGAATGTTGACAATAGCCGAATTCATATTAGAAGACGGATTTCCGTCTAAGACGGAAACTCGTCTCAGACGAGAAACTCGTCTTGATATAAATTCGGTTAACGACGGGTTTTCCGTCTCAACTTTTCCGTCTAACTTTCCCGTCTGAACGACGGGAAAGTTAGACGAGTTTCTCGTCTTAGACGGAAATCCGTCTTAAATCCGTCTTAAATTTATATCAGACGAATAAATCAAGACGGGTTTCTGCTCGTAACGTTCAAAAGAGACTGGGATGGAGGGTCTCCTATTTTTTCGGGTTTCTCCGTCCGATGGTTTTCGTTTCATACTTATACCAGACGGAAATCCGTCACACGAGTTTCCCGTCTTAGACGGAAATCCGTCTTCTAAGTATGAATTACATGTAATGATCATGCAAGAAGAAGTAGATTTTGCAAGAATAACAGCGCGGTAAAAACGACAAATAAAAGATCTTGTATATTTGTCGTTTTTACCCCGTTTTTCTTGCAAAATCTACTTCAATCCTCATTAATTTCACCAGTGATTATTAAACTTCGACGAGCTGGTGCAGTGCCCGTGTAAGGTCTAAGGAGACACTAAAACTAGACTAACCGCATTTATTATACTCAATGACAAACCCGGTCGGACATGCATGGATCTTCACCAGTGCATGCATGGGCAGTGTATTACTAATTATTATTATATAAAGTATAGTGCTTTAAGCACTATTTAAAGCACTGATAAGTGATAATCTCACATGTGAAATTATTTATGATAATCTCACATGTGAAAATTATCGCTTTTCAACTGTCCTTCTTATAATAGACGGAAAAATACATGGGTGCTTGGAAATATCAGATTTATTTCTCGTGTTCAACATGATATCTCACTCGTTTGCTGCGCTCACTCGTGAAATATCATGTTCAACACTAGCCTGCGTGGCAGGCCCTCAGTTTTATGGGGGGCCTGATTTGCAACGGGTAGGATTGCAAATCAGGCCCCCTTAGGCCCCCCCCCCCCATAAAAGGGAGGGCCTGCCACGCAGGCTAGTTCAACACTCGAAATAATTCCGCGCACCCATGATTATTCTCTATTTATAGCACCAATGGCAATGCCAATGAAGACCGGAGTAATAATGGATCGAAAGCTTCGCCAAAGCCGAGGCGAGGCAAAGAAACAAATTAACGTGCCCACAAAACAAATTTTAAACAAAACAAAACAATTATACTTATTTTTACCATGCAAACCTACAAGGTCAAGTATATTATTGTGCTTTATTACAATGGTATCAAGATGAAATATCTTTAAAAAGGAAAATACACTAATTATTGAAAAAAAACCACACAAAATACGTGATAGCGACTATATCTATATATTTTTAATTTTATCTCCAAATTACGGCAAATAGAAATATTTCGAAAGTACTTTAAAAATATTTAGCTTCGCCGTGTAATTGCCTGAATGTCTACAAAGACAAAGTCTTCTGACTGTGGCACGACCACTAAATATGGTAATTACTCCAAATATAATAAAATATTTATTGTAGTGAAACTTAAAGACAAAATCTAAGTTTGTATTTCCACGTTTTATATCGGCATCATAATCATGTTTCAGAATCGACGAAAATGTGTTGCGAAGCAAATGTTTAAAAAATGGTTTGGTCTTGGAAAGTTAATATGTTTTAAATATTTCCCAATTTATTTCTGAAGGAAAACCAGTCGTAGAGTATTAATAAGATAAGAAATACTACAAATATAATTAAAATCAATATTGATAAATCACCATGCAGAAATTATGAATAACATGCTACAAGACAACATACGTGACTAGGATGAGGAACAGGACTTTCGTCCCAATTAGTACCTGCATGACCCCTAATTAAATTATTACCAATGATAAGATTTGGCATCAACAAAGTCTGAGATTATCATGATAAGACTTGGCATCAACAAAGTCTGAAATTATCATCAATGAAAGTTTTGTTGTTTAGTACTGATAATATTGTCCGTCATATGGCCTAGGCTGACTCATTTCACATACACATTTCTAAATTTAATATTATCGCTATATAGATGACCAAAGTTATGACCTAACATTCTATAGTCATTATAAAATTGCCATTGTCGAACCACATAACCCGGTAGCTTTATGGTCGTTATATTATATGAGCGCAGGTTCGAACCTTCTATTTGTTTAATTTTATGAAAAGGTTTGATGGTGGTAAGTGCCGTAATTAGTTGGACTTGAGCATATTGACTATGCCTTGAGGCAAATACATCATCGTTAGAAAATTGTCACTATAGGCAGTATATGCCATTGATTGTGAACTTATCGAACTCACTTGCTTTGCAATCAAACATTGCACAGGAACATCATCAGCACATGTTCGAACTCAATCTCGTACTCTCGATAAGAGATTGATTGGAACCCTGTCAGTATTTGTTTTTATATTTTACTTTTTCTGAAAAAGTTTGATACGCCGTCGAGGTTTCAAGCAAGCAAAGACAATTGCACCACTATAACATGTATGACAGGCTTCGTTCCGGTCTCATGTAAACAGTGATTAGAGATATTTACAGTAATCTTTTTAACGCTGACGAGTATCTAAGTCTACGATGCTTGCAAGGTTTATTCATCTAATATTTCAATGCTAATTGAGGTAAACAAATAAGCTTTCTTGGGCCTGAGTTCATTGAAGTTTTCCTTAATTTCTTTCTTCGATTCCGATGCTTCATTACAAGTTGTTAGTGTTATAGCCTCCAATGTCTATAATAGTTGCCGCTTAACTTCGGAAGGTATACTGTTAGCAAATTTTAAATTTACCAAGTTAAATAGTCATTTAGTTAGCGCAATTTCCATCGCATTATCAATTTGTTCATTCAGAATATCTTTGACAAGGCAATGTGTAGACTCCTCATTTGAATCGCTTGGTAACGGATTATGGCAGCTATCAGTATTTACTCCAACCATTTCAAAGATAACTCTTAGATTTTCAGGATCTGCATAGTCCATATGGCCGTTGATAATTTTAGTAAGGTCGATGTTAATCATCTTCTTGCTCTTCCAAGGAATCTCACATAAACCAGCTATGCTAGCCCGCATAGAAGAAGCTCGATAAATGAATCTTAATAACCAATCTTTGCGACAAAACCCGTTAAAGATAGTACCAGCAACAACATCTGAAAATTGCTGCCACTTCTCAGCATTGCCACTCACTGGTGCACCAAGTACAATGACATTTTGGATAATCCCACCAGAATCAGCATGCGCAGTCAGCTCTTCCAAGCAATAGTAGATAACACGTGCGCCAAGACTGAAACCAATTAGAGTGACTGGACGTTTACCTTGCTCACGTGATAATAACACCCGCGCAAGTTCTCTGCCAACTTCCTTCGCCCGGCTAGCACACACACTCCATGGATTATCAATCAGAGAAGCAGCGTTCAATAGTGTAACAGGCCATGCAATTGCTGCCATTATACCTTGCAAAACAGTGTATTTGAGAGCCTCTACTGTTGCTGTGCCTACAACGTTTGTTGTAATAATGTCCCGAATTGCTGAACCCAATTCTAACAAGAATTTACTTTCCCAGACCAAGGAATAAGCTTCCAGAGATGGCGAGAGTGCTGACCATTGTGTGATAAACTCTTCAGTGCCATCTTGTGTGAGCCAGCCGGATACACAAATTGTCAATTGTAAACGATGTACACAGTCAGACAGATTTATAAAACCAAACTCCTCAGTCATACCAACACGTCGGCTCATCTTATAACCAGTAAGACCAGCTCCAGTGGCTCCAAACACGGATGTGATAAATGCCAGACCAGCAGAAGAAGCCAAGAATGTAGCCCCACTCCCTCCTATCAATGCACCTGCACTTGCAGCGACAACAGGTGCTGCTAATCCGCCCGTTAGCCCAATGATCGCCCCACCTGCAACAACACCTAGACCTATCATTAATGCCTTCTTCTTTCGCCTGTAAGACTTTCTTTTGTCAGCTTCTTCGTGGACTTCTTTGTCTTCCTGTATAAGAACATTCAAACTATCTGCTAAGTCATCTTCATATAACAAAACCTGCTCTTCCCTTGTTCCCAATTTTCGTGCAAAAATGTAAATCAAAACTCTTGCTCTAGCATCATAACCTCCTTGTTTAATTGATAAACGAATCAATTCCTGATTAAGAACATTGATGTCCTCACTAAGGCTTCTTTCATCTTTTAGAGCATTTATTAACAATTCCATGTTTTTATCATCCTCGCTTCCTTTGGTTTCGTCTAACATCAAACATAACGAAGTTGCTACAGACAAGGGCAGACCTAACTCTTCAATAATTTTTGAGATATAAGACTTCGACCAATCAACATCACAACGGGTTTCATTTATGTTACACAAAATATACACACATAGTTGGCAAAGAGAGTATTTTCCAACATCTGTGAGAGAAATATGTAGACTGAGTTCTTCAACTTGATCTTTGCTAACTGCCATTGATACTGTCTAAGGTTCAACCTATGCACAACAACAAATGTTTAATAAAATATGTGAGGATTAATTATTAAACACGAGAAGATAAGACATTTATTTGTACTCAGTTATACATTCTAAGATTAAAACTTTTGTATAAAGTTGAAAAATAATTATTGGCTTTACTCGCTTTAGTCTTCTGGTTTCTTCAACTGTACACTAGTTTCTTTTTTCTTCTTTTTTAATAGAATTAAATCGCTGAGTGCAAAAGGGCTGAACTCATTAAAATGGCTTGCACACAAAAATGGAATTTCAATACGCAATTTGAATTCAAAGGGAGAAAGTTTAGGATACATGTGTGTTATCAACTAGCTATCAAAACACGAAAAAATTTGATGTACATTATTACGTCCACCATCTGATGGCTAAAACTTGGGATTTTTGGAAGATTTGAACATGAATTGAGAGAAATTTAATCATGCATAAAATGCTAATGTTTGAAATATTTGAAATCAATTATATCAATTATGCATGTTGTAAGAATATCGTAAAACTAACCTAGATTCAAATTTTGTTTCTATTTTAGCTTTGATAGTTTTTAGGATATTTTGAGTATATTTCCATTGTTTTAAGGTATAGACCATATACTATTAATAGTAATCAATTAGTTGGCCTTTTTCACACTCGTTGTATCTGCCATTTTTGCAGCGGCCGAAATGACGGAAAATTGACAAATTTTCGGAAATTTTGACCTACAAGAGGGCTAGAAACAACCTTTTCGAGTGCAAATGGGGGTTGTCGGAAATGTGAAGGTTTAAACCATCAGAAATTTAGGAGGCTTTGCCCCCACAGGAAAAAGTGAATTTCCACCACTGCATTTTTGGTGTACTGCCTCTCCCAGGCCTGAGAGTGCAGTACGCACCATCAAATATAATTTTTATAACTTACTGGTGCGTATAATGAAAATTTTTTATACCATTACAATTTTAAAAAGTCGCATTTCACATTGTTTTAATCCTCTAGATTTTTTGAGGAAAGATAATTGGCTTTGGGGGGGGGGGGGGGGGGGGGGGGA